TAACAGAATGAACTGAAGAAAAAGGTAAATATCTTCAGACAGTATTAGACTGCGGAAAGCTTTTCAAAGTGGTGGAAGATATCACTTGAAACACTGAAAATTAGACTGGACAAAGCATTAAAACAGTAGTTCTTCAAAAAAGTTTTCCTGCAGACCACTTCAGAGCCAAGAAATTGTTTTACGTGCCTCCTACAACATGCCAACCCTGCACAGAGTGAAATATTTTGAGATCCAAACGATCAGCCACCACAATAGGTAGTAGATCAGTCTGTGGACTACCATGGTATGAGAACTCACACTAGTTAGGTTAATGCTCTTCCTCTACCCCCATCCTCTATTGCACATCTCCAGCTTCTGTAAGCTAAGTTTTATGAAGACTAAAATAACAGACAGCAAGACTACTAGAAATCCAAGGTCCCCAAAAATCAATTTGATCTAAAACAGTTGGGTAGAATATTGCATCTTCTTGGGTCTTTGCCCTTTACTGTAAGTATTTCTAGTCCAAACCTTTATAGTTAGGTGTAATTAAAATTCTGCACAGAAATTAGGAATCTAAGAAGTCTGTTTCCTCCCTCTCTTCACCCCAAGAGAACAATATTCATTAAAAAAAAAACCCACCAAGCTCTATCATCTCCATGTTGTATATACAAGATACATGCTAAGATCTTCCTCCCCTCTCAATCATGGACTCATAATAAATGGAGAGCTGGAGGGACTTTCAGAGGTCATCTAGTACAGCCTCCTGTGGGACCAAGTATACCTAGACCATCCCTGACAGGTGTTTGTTTAACAACCTATTTTTAAAAACCTCCAATTATGGGGATTTCATTACTTTCCTTATACCCTTATAGGTAGAAAGTTCTTCCAAATTTCTAACCTAAATCTCCCTTGCTGCAGATTGAGCCCATTACTTCTTACCCTACCTTCAGTGGACATGGAAAACAATTGATCACCCTCCTTTCTGTAACAGCTCTTAACTGTCTTCAAATGTGTTCAGGTTCCCCGAGTCCTCTTATCTCAAGACTGAACATGGCCAGGTTTGTTTGTTTTTTAAACCTTTCCTCAGGTCAGGTTGTCTAAACCTTTGATCATTTTTGTTGCTCTCCTCTGGACTCTCTCCAGTTGGTCTACGTCTTTCTGAAGAGTGGCGCCCAGAACTGGACACGGCACTCCAGCTGAGGCCTCATCAGTGCCACGTAGAGCAGGGAGGTAATTGTCCATGTCTTACATAGGACACTCCTGTTAAAAAACCCAGAATGAGATTAGCCTTTTTAGGAGCTGCATCACATTCTTGCCTCATTTGGTTTCTGATCCATTGTATCCTCCAGATACTTTTCAGCAGTACTACTGCCTAGCCACTTATTCCCCACTTTCTGTAGTTGTACATTTGATTTTTCTTTCCTAAGTGTAATACTTGGCACTGGTCTTGTCTGAAATCAACATTCTGAAATTCAAGAAAGTTCTCCAATTTGTCAAGGTTCATTTGAATTCTAATCCTGTTCTCCAAACTGCTTGCAACCCCTCCCAGCTTGGTGTCACCTGTAAATTTTAGAACGCTCTCCAGATCCATTATCCAAGTCATTAATGAAAACATTGACTAGTACCAGACCCAGGACAGACCCCTGCAGGATCCCACCAGATACATTCCCTTCCCCACCTCCCCAGTTTGATAGTGAACAATTGATAACTACTCTGAGGATGGTCCTTCAACAGTTGTGCACCCACCTTATAGTAATTTCATTGAATATTCCTTTTGCTATTGGTGACTCTATACATATAGGATTCCCAAATAGATTTTAAGTGTACATCTTTCAACCAAACCAAACAAAAACAAAACCAGGACATTTATGGAAAAAAGACAAAAGAAACCAGAAGATTATTTTGGGGGTAGCGGGTAAAAGTACCTTTCAGAACTAGAGGTTCCTTGCCTTCTCGCTTGAGTGACTCCAGCACTACGTGGAGAGGCTGGGAAGGCATTACTCGGCTTGGCTCATTGGTATTCTCATCATAAACTATAATTTCTTTGGAAAAGATCCTCTTGAAGGAGTCCTTGCCTTCCCGGCAGGAGATCAAGTCCAAGACAGTGATCTTGCCCTGCTGGAGCCTTCTCCTGCTGATCTTGTCAGAACAGTTAATGTGAACAGCCCCTTGAATGTGACTCTTATTGTACTCCATGAATGGCCTGCAGTCAATGATGACAGGCCCTTGATTCTGTTGGTGGCTCTTGTTGCATTTGGTCATCTTTTTAGCCAGGTCATTAGGATAGATTATTTTTATGCTAGCTACTTGCTTGGTTGTGCCTGAGGCCGGGCTCCCCACTCCACCCGATGGACTCAATGTGCCCGTGTTCTCATTGTTGTTGACCATTTGGTTAGCAGGGCAGGTGGTAGAGGTTCCTACGTTGGTAGTGCTGCTGGTGCTTGCTTGAGTTTGGGCCTGATTGTCCTTGTCGTAAGTTGCCACAGTGCAGCAACTGGCGCTGCTGCATCCACAACTCAGGGAGCGTGCAGAGCCGTTGGATGAGGGCATATACGTGAGATTAGCAGCCTTTAGGGACACAACAGCTGTGCCAAGGAGACTTGTGTGACTCTCACTGGCAGAAGAAGCAGATTCAAGGTAGCTAGAGTCTAAACAAAGGCTGAGATCCTGAGGTCTTACTGGCCTTGAAAGTGCCACTACTACCCTGTCGTCTAAAGGAGATGGAGGCATGAGGAGGCTGAGAATTGGCAAGTCAAGAAGAACTCAAGATCTGTCTGCAAAGGGAAAAAGAAAAAGGATCACATGAAACATACAGGGCCAGAGATTTCTAAAGGCTGTTTCTGATACTCATCACAGACTAAGAGTGATCAGCTCAGTGCAGTTTATGAAGGAACCTCTCCCAATCCTGCAGCAAAAGCTTCAACTCTTAGCCTGCACGCAAAGAGAATGCAGAATATTCTATTGGCCTATCGAGCAACTAGTCGAGAGGAGACATTCATTTACATGCAGATGCTGAGTTACTCTGAAACCTTGAGGCTGCAAAGCATACAACTGATAGAGATAATAAAAAGGCATGTTCTCTCATTTCCTCTGCTCACAGCAAGGGACAGAACTATTGGCGTGGCTCAACAACTCGTAGGAATGCACAGCAGCTAAATATGTCAGAGGCAGATGTGCAACTTTTCTAGCAAGCCTGAATAAAACTAGCCTTGGAATAAACCCTTGAGAAAGCCATTTGAAAGCTTGAACCCATACAGAAACAACAGCATAACAAGAAACAGAAGATGCCAGGGATCATTATGTAATTGAAAGGCACAAGCCTGCATTCCATCTCCCCTTTTCAGATCCTAGTACAATTCTAATAAAAAATATATCAGCCTGGAAACTCTAGCACCTCAAGCAATCAGAGGGAGAAGCACCCTCACCCCACAGAACAGTTTTAGAGACTCCAGGAATAAGGGTCCCACTGCAGTCCTGAGGTCATGATCTTTACAAGCTTTAGTGTCTCGTCTATTAAGAGACACCACATAAAGTTATTTCACCCACCCACCCACACACACACGCCAAAAAATATCCACCAACTTTCAGAGCATCTGGTACCCCCCTCCTCAAAATACATTCCATCAACCCGCTAACAAATTAAATAAAATCTAACAAAATAAAAGCAACTGAGCACTTCTAATATCAGTTTCCTCCCCTTCCAGCATTATACTGTCCATGTCTACAGTACCTATAACATCTCTTTTTTATATCAATGAGTTGTATTCTCTGGCCCGCCTTAGGATAATAAGTCCCTTCACTTCCTTCTTTTCTCTAAAAATCTCTCTGCAGGTTGAATTTGAAAACATCTTTACAATCGGGAAAATATTTAACATCTACAGATGAAAGCACTAACAAGACAGAAAATGAAATCTCAGGGTAGAGACTGATCATCAACCTTTAAAAAAACGACCCCGGTAGATTGTCTAGCCTATCCCTCCTCTTCCCCCCCCTTTTTTTGTTTGTTTGTTTTGTTTTAAAGAACCTGACAGTCAAACATAACGGAAAACTAAAAAGCAATCTCCTCCAGCTAGTAAAGAGGGGGAGAAACAGCAGCACAATTAAAAATAAAAGGCAGCTAATTTTATTTCAAAATATACATAAAAGTCAGTAAGATTACAAAAACAATTCATAGGATTTGATTCTAGGTATAGAGAATTGTTTTCCCAAGGATATATGCAGTTTTGGAAGATCTGCATCTCTGCAGCAGAGGGTCGTATATTTCCAGCAAAACCATGAAGTCAGAGAACAGAGCTAAGGCATCCTGTTTAGCACCACTAACCACCACCCTCTCTTCCCCCAGGACCATACAAAAATGAAGTGTGTGTCTGGGGTGGGGAGATAAAGCCAAGGGAGAAGATGCAAGGAGATGCCTCCGAGCACTCTAGTCTCTCAGTCACCCCCTCCCCACACACACTGCAGCAATCCCAAACAAGAAAAGCCTCTTCCCCCATCCCACCAACACTCACTAGAAAGAGCAGAGGTCAGTAATCAGAAGCAGTACAAGCCCAACACTGTTGGCCGAGCTTTCTACAGCACCCCTCCAAAAGTAGCATTTCATACAGATGAAACTATGCCCTGCACTCATACTACGTATATTATAGGTGCTGCACCTATGTGTAACTACATAAACGCTGCCCGCCCCTGTCATTATCATGAGAGTCTTCCACTTACTTCATAAATAAGTATTCCCCTTCAGCATCCAGCGCTCCTCTGTGCCTACGGAGTTACACGTTAAACCCCCATTCACTCAGCTTCATTGATCTCCCGCTGCAACAGAGTTACTTTCTCTTTTGCTACACTGTAAATGTAAGGTTCGAAAGGGGCGGAGTCGGCGGGGACGGACGGCGCCCGCGCCCAATGGGGGCTCTCCCCTGCAAGTGGGCGGGCTCCCAGCGCCGGGGTGCCAATGGCTGGAGGTGGGGGAGTGGGAGGAGCCGGGGGCTGGGCTCCCAGCCGCTTGGGGATGGTTTATTCGACGTAGCTTTGGGTCCGCTGTGGTATAACACGGGAGGGGCCGGGGGTGATGTCATTGGCAGCCAATCAGAAGCTTGGAAGAGCCGGCCCGAGCCGGAGAGGAGCAGCTGCTCTGTATTTACATGTCAACTGACCCAGCGGGCATGTGCTTAACCCGTTCCTGGGCTGGGTTGTCAATGGGACGCTCGCTCCCGCCTTCCCCTCTCCCCCTTCTGTCCCCTGTCCTCGCTCACTCCCCCGTCTCTGGAGTCCTTCTCCCCGCCCCCCTCCACACCAGCTCGCCGTCTGTGAATGAAACCCTCCCGCAGCAGCTTTCTTCAACCGAACCCCCCGCGCCGAGCCGCTCCGGCCTCAGACGTGCAGCCCCGGGCACCGCGAGAAGGGTTTGTTCATGTTAATCACCCCCACCCCTCCCCGGCAAGGGGTTGACAACGCAGGCGGCACTTGGCAAAAAGACTTGGGGTGGGAGGGAGGGAGCCCGAGCCAGCAGCAGCTCGAGCTGCTCCCCCGGGGCTCCCCGGGCGCAGGAGGGACGCTGTGAAAGGCAGGGGTGGAGCGGAGGCTGATAAGCCCCACGCAGCGGAGAACGAACTCCAAGGTGCGGCAGAGTCACCATCCACGTTCGCAGGGACTGGCTGCCTTCTGCCCTCCGCCGCTTCCCTGGCTGCAGCCCTGCCCGGGTCACCCAGGCGGGGGAGGGAGCCCCCGGCCCCGGGAAGGGCGAAGGCATTATTTCCCCCAGCACGCGCCTCCTGGGATGCAAGAGGCATTTGCAAAACAACAACAAAATCCACACTCAATTTTTTTTTTAAATCTCCCTCATTCTAATTGTCACAGCGCGAGTCAGCCCTGCCCTTGAAGGCTGGAAGCTGCCTTTTAAAGACAGCTGCTGGCTTCCGCTGCCAAACGGCTGCATGTTGGGGAGTGACAATCCCAGCTCAGTCCCAGGCTAAAGCATCTAGTGCTGCCACCGGTCAGCACCCATGCAATTCTGAAGCCCTTCCCAGGGCTGAATCAGAGAGTTGGCGCAACAGCATATCTCTGTCAGTACACTTGGGGGGCTCACAGAGTAGTCTATCAACACACCAAACCATCTCTCCCCTTCCCCCCGCCCCTCCTCTCTTTCAGGGGCAGGGAGCACAGTGACCTTGGGTATTAACCAGGACACCGAGTGTTAAAAGGATAATAAGGATTGAAGCGATCACGGAGTGCAGCCGTGCTGCCTGCTACTGTAGCAGCCTTCGAGCAGAGGTTCAGAACGGTAAACTAGCGAGCCCGGGAAGAGACTGTAACATAAGGAGAGAGGACTTCCCATTTAATACATCTTTGTAAAATGCTGTCAAATAGCATCTTATTTCAAACCTTGTCTTTGTCAATTACTTTTAAAAAGCTATGATTTCATGTGCCTTGCTTTTGCCAGTTTTCCTCTCGTTGGTTATATAAGTCCCATTATTGATATGGAGTTTGATACAGACATGATGGGACTGTCACAGCTGTTGTGATTTTGAGTCAGTCTGATCCAAAACTATTTTACAAACATTACACATATATAAGGAATCACTTCACCTAGCACTGGAAAGCAACCACTGCTAAAGCAAAAGCATGGTAAATGTTTAACAGCACTCAGCAACACTACACAATAGTTTTAGATGCTGTTTCTAATTGAAGATACAGGAGGGATTCAGGTAGCTAGAACGTAATTAGCAGGACTGGAATTTGACTAGGACACGAGAGAGAATTCCCCATAGCAGAGAATTCTGGCATTGAGAGCATCAGCAATGTTTGCAACACACCCCATTGCCTCACACACAAAATATTTGCCACAGCATATAAACAGAACTAGGCAGCACTAGACACTTTGGTGCCAGAGGCCAGTGTCAGCCAGCTGTGTGGGAATGCTTAAAGGAGCATCTGGGCAGGAGCTACTCCTAAAAATTAGGTGCCTTAAAGACTGCCTATGTAGACTAAGCAACTAATGTCAGCCCCACCAGCATCTCTCCAATTGCACTTGCTGTGAGTGAACTTATTTAGGAAACATTAAACCCCATAATTCAATCACCAGTGCAGCTCCACCCATGGAAGTTATAGTTTAGACAAGACTCAGGCACCTTTTATCATATGTCATCTTACTCTACACTAAGTAGTTTTAGGCAACAGAGTGGTGAAAATGCCTAAATTATCTTTGAAATACAGTCACCACTACTGCTTCCACCATTGGAGCTAATTGGTGGGGAATAAGTCTGAATTTTCCTGCTTTGAATATAGCCAACAAATAAAGTACATGCTTATAAACTATGCATGTTTCATTTCTGTACCTAGAAACTGCACAACCATTCTATTTACAAGTGTTAGGAGTATATTTTCCCATCTGTATAAAATGTTCTGGGGATAATTTATATGGTCCAGATTATATTTAGACTCAGACTTTAAGGCCAGAAGACATGACTGGGATCATCTACTCATAAGAGTCAAGCACTTATGTATAGGGCTGTCAGGAAAACAAGAATTCAATTTCCAAAAATGAAGATTTCATCATTTGTTTCCAGCCCAATGCAGCACAAAACCAGGACCTTTCAGTTTTGGGGAACCCCCCGCACAAAGAGAGATCCCACTCCAGAATAGTCAGTACCCTAGTGGTTAGAACAAGGGTCAAGTCCCTGCTTTGAATCAGGAAGAGCAGTGACTTGAAACTGGCTCCACTTGCGAGTTACAGCGCAATAAAGGAGCCCCGGGTGCACTAGCTCACTCCCCATCCACACTGGCAAGGCACGTAGAGCGCTCTGACTGCGGCTACAGCACTGCTGGTACTCCACCTCGGCGAGTGGAATAACGTTTGCTACGCCCCCGCTGGAGCACCGTGGCGCCAGTGTGAATGAGGTGTTGCATTATTGCGCTCTAACTGACCTCCAGAAACGTCCCATAATCCCCTTAAGTCAAGTAGCCACTCTTGTCATTGTTTTGAACTCACTGTAGGAATGCGGATATGCTCTTCAAAGCTCCATTTCTGACAGCTGGCTGCTTATCTGCTCCGAGACAAAGGAACCGTTACTGAGGAATGCTGCTTGCTTTGAGTGAGTGAAAGAGATCGGGGCGGGGAGGGTGGGGGAAGGAGGAGACGGAGGTCTGCTGCTGTCTGAACTTACAAGACAGCATGCTGACACGTTCTCAGCCCCCCAAAACCCCACTCTCTCTCCCTCCACATACACACAACACATTCCCTGTCACACTCCACCCCACCCCCCGCATTTGAAAAGCACGTCGCAGTCACTTGCACACTGGGATAGCTACCACAATGCACTGCTCTTTGTGGCATTGCAAGAGCTGCTAATGTGGCCACACTAGTGCGCTTCCAGCTGAGAGTGTAAACACTCGGCAGCGTTTTCCCTGCTGCAGTCTCCGAAAGCTGGTTTAACTCCCAGCGCTCTACAACTGCAAGTGTAGCCATGCCCTGGGTCTCTGACATCCCAGGTGAATGCCCTAATTACTGGACTATTGGCTATTCCAAGCTCTGTGTGTGTGCGTCTCTCTCTCTCTCTCTCTCTCTCTCTCATATATACTGGACTTGAGAAAGTTTAGTGAAAAATTATATGGTTCAGGGAAAAGTTTTGATTTCTACCAATCAGCATTTTCCAATGAAAAACTGATTTAGTTAAGCTCCCACTCAGCTCTACTTATAATTTTACACATAGAAAATGAGACAATACAGTGGGTGAGGTCAATGCTGTTAACTGAGACAGATATCCACACTTCTATGCATTGCAATAGTGCAGGGAGAGGATAAGATACACTGCACATTGGAAAAGGTGCTATGGAACCATTTAATGCCCCACAAGTTGTCAGAGAATTGATTGTGCATCTCATGCAACAAATAGCACATTCATCAACTCAGGACTCCCAAACTTCATCCCAGGGCACTGTGTCAGTACTGACCAAGAGATGAGGGTCATCTGCACCAAAAAGAATCAACACTCAATTAAAAAATAATTCCTGGGGTACAGTGATGACTAACCTCTGGAATTTCCATTTTTAGATAAGTTTCCTAATAATCCTGTTCCCTCAAAAATAATCATGTGCTAGTGAGAGCAGCATCCAGTGAAAAACACAATAGCTTCTGTGAATGGAAGCCATAATTCACTCAGTGTGCAGCACAAGGTCCCAATGGAGCACAAAGCCTAACATGGCAAGTCTGTTAAGTCTCTGCATGCTGTACTTCCTATTAACCATGAGGCCAGCTGCAACCTGCTCCGTGTTATGCAAATTAAGATCCACCCCCAGACTCCTAGTAGGTAACCAGTGCAATACTCAGATTGGCAAACTTTGGGTTCTTCTGGCCTAAAATAAAATATCCTAGGGAAAAGGAAAGCAAAGTAGGGATGGGGGGTAGGAGGGAAAAAAGAGACACAATGTTTCAGAGACAAATTACCAGGGGAAAGCAGATAAAAGGGAATCAGACTTTCTGGCAATATATTTAGACACAGAAAATTATATAAAATATTTAGTTCCTTTCCTTTTTCCAAGTGAACTGCAAGGCAAAAATGAAAATTGGCTTCTGAGCTGCAGGGGCCTACTAATCAACCTGTGGGCAGACATTCAGCAGCGATACAAGAATTTAAAATTCTTTTTCCCCATCCTGATCTTTGTGAAATCCTCTTAGTATTTGCTGGATCACTGACAATATCTCATAATGCATCAGTACGTCACATCAGAAATACCTCAGCTCTCATTGCAATCCAGGCAATCTGGGATGATGTCACTTAAGGTATCTTCACTGTTCAAAGAAGTATCTGTAGAATTTAATCTAAAAACTTGAATCTAACTCCCTTTGAGTTTCCTGGGTTTAGGGCAGGACAGGGGTTATGTGAATTTGAAATACCGAATCCAAATTAAAGCACCAGGGTTTTGGTTGAAACCAAAGCTAGAAAGAGCCCACTTTCCAGATCCATTTCAAAGATGGTGGAAACTTTACGAGACGGTAAAATCAAATGTCTGCATTTTAGAGCCAAAATCTCAATGGACAGGTTGCAAGACTTTGATAGCATTGAACACAAACACCTTGATTCTGCCAATAAACCCAAACCTGGTCTAAACCTAATCAAGATCCAGATCCACATCCAGGCACCACCTCCTCGGCCCATCTCTGCAGAAAATCTTCTTTCCTGAATGCCTATCAAGTTAGTGGATTCTGTCACAGCTCTGGCCAAGCTCCCCTGCTGGGCACTCACCAGGCTGCTGTGTTTGGATCCCAACACTGGACTTGAGTGCTTTTTGCTTGCAGAGTCTGAGCAGAGCCAAGGCATAGTCTATGGTTTTGGGTCTCTAGGCAGACTCTTGGTGTACAATCCTCCATCTATCCCTCCCTTCTCAGAGTAGGACCTTACAGTCCAGCTGCTTAGGTCCTGAGATTGTACTGGCTCCCCCACACTCCCCAATACCGTAAGCACACCATTCCCAGAGCTCCAACCTTGTGGGCACTCTGGTATAGTTTGTCCCTTCAGGTGTTACCCCAAAACAGATTTGGGGTATCCTCAGAATAGCTCACCTATTGCCCCTTTCTGGGCTTACCAAGGGTTCCCTCAAAACAGCCCACTTGTTCTCCTGTTATAATCAAGCTGTTCTCATTGGGCCTGGGTCTTCAGAATGGCTAAGGAATATCTTGGGCTTGCCAGGGGTTCCCTGATTTAGAAACTCCCTAGAACAGCTTGAATTTGTTACCCCCAGAGGACATGGATACAGTCTTCCAATAAATGATTGACACAAGCAGTATTCTTTCCAAAACAAAGCACCCTTTTTGGTGCAAATAACAATCCCGGATACAATAATATCATCACAGGTCACTGACAGCTACTGGTAACAATCGTTAAGTGTTACATATCTGTACAATTAACATAATGTGCAGACACATCTTTATTAATCCACACACAAGCTAACACTAACACTATACTACAGTCACAACTGACAGGCTTATTCTGTCTCCTGATTTCTGCTGCTGCTGCTTCTTCAGGCTTTCTTCTACCACCTGCTTTGCTCTGGTCTGCTCCACAGCTCAACTTCACCATGGCTCCTCCCAGTCAGGTCACTATCTGCTTGCTCCTCCTTTGCTATCCGTCCATTCCCAATAGTCTCTCTCGTCCTCTAACTCTCTCTCTGCTGTCCATAGGCACACTGCCTTTTATACTGTTTTTCAATTCTATTTTTAGAAATGACACCATCAGATCTTTACTGCACATGCTCGCATGTGCTCAGTACCAACATTCCAAACATTACCTCATTCTTGAATGGATGCCAACATTCCACGCATGCTCACTGCCATTGTTTACCTCAGAGTTATGATTACCTCATCTATACTTTCCCCTACATTGGTAATTTAGCTGATTTTACCCCTACTTTGAAGTGCTATATGATCTACGGCTTCCATCTAGTGGTGGAGTGACTCTTGTTTATTCAAAATGGAGGCCAGGAATACAAAATGGAGTCTGGGGATTTCTCTGGTATCACAGGAACATGTGATTGTTGAAGCAAATAGATATCAATTTTGCTTTGGGATTCTAACACCACTCTTCGCTTTCACAACACAAGAGAGATACAGATCTAGGCAAAACAATGAGACGACTCTACACCATTGCCTACCTCAGTTTCTTCACTACACTTAAGTATTCATTGGGAGCAGGTCAAAGCATTCTAATGAGTGCAGGGTCCTTCCTCTCCAGCTTTCCTCCTGCACATGGCTTTTCCTCCAGAACATGGAGTCTCTCCATCTTACTCCTGCAGTTAGTGTGCTTCAGGTTCTGGCTGGTCTGGCAGTCAGAAAGGTTCCCCCTCAGTCCAGAAACCTGTTCTTCTTCTGGGAAATTCCATTCCTTCTCCTCTGGAGATCTGGCTTTCCTACCTTTAGTCACCCCATTGTTCTGTTCAGGCATGGCCTTTTAATTTGTTGATAGCCCTTAACACCTGTCACAAGGAGTATGCAAAAAGAATACAGGAAAAAATAATCATAAGGGCTTAAACACAGAGAATTCATAATATCAACCAGAATTAATCAATTGCATATAGACAGATTCCCCAAACAGTCATAGAGCCATTCAACACAAACCTGTGCTCAGCTCAACTCAATCTCAGGTTTTTGTTTGCAGCTCTGCAGCAGCAACTCCAGACCACTGAGGGTGGGGTAGGGGAAGCCAGTGGATATATCATAGATACAAGAACTTGGCTTCCCAAAGTCTCTTCCCCTTGAACTGTCAACTTTCCACTGAGAGCAATTGCTTCTATGTTCTGGCGAACATTTTGATTAAGTG